CGAGGTAGCTGCGTCACTTTCTCGCATGCGGAAAAGTCCGAAGAAAAAAAACAAACATCAATATGGCTTGCGTAGAGATGTGGTCACAAGCGTCTACGGCATCAGTGGAAGCCGAGTGAATTTACGCCAGAGAATGTCGCAAGGCGAAGGCTGTGAGCACCATGTATGGGATCCCCCGCAGTTATTCCAGAAGTGCTTTAGAGGTTTCCCCGTGCATTTCGGGAGCAAAAAATATCGCTCCGTCTCAGGATGCCATAGAACGTGGAACTCTTGTAGCTCCTGCAACATCTGACTGCCTACGTGTTGCCTTCAACGGTCAGACTGGCAAATCCGACCACATCCTTTTCAGCAGCTTCCTTCAATTTCGTCTCGATGGCATCCTTTGGCATTCCTTTCCTCGGCTTTTAAAGCGCAAAGCAAGTTCAAGACACATCTCCCACACAGCCCCGACAACACTTCACAAAACTGGATTAAAGAAGGTGCNNACATCTCCGGCGCGGTAGTCGCCTCAATTGAAAAAGCAGGTGCCATCGAGAACGGCAGCGAAAGGAGAAGCGGATGAATTGAAACTCGGCTTACGTGCTGGTCAGGCACACTCTTTCACGATTGGTTGGATTTTGCGCCAGTCATCCGCACCCGTTAAACTCTGCCGATTTCTTCGCCTCATTTTTTGTCGCGGGTCGATGCACCATGATGATCATGATGCACATGTAGGAGGGGAGCAGGGCGACCCACTCATGCCCGCCTTGTATGCGCTTGCACACCAGCCCGCCCTTCGGGACGTCCAGTCCTAATTCCGAAAACGCTTGCTTGGTCGACACTTCGTTGTTGCGTACTTACGTTGTCGCGTGGGAGCTTGTGTGCAGCGGCAGTCTCCTTACCCGCCCATGGCTGACCTGCAAGCCGCTTGGCTTCTCAGGCTTTGCGGACCTGCCGCTGCCCACAACAGCCGTGCGCGCCTCCCACCTCGCTTGGCCTGCGAGCAGTCTTCGCTGACGCTGGCAACGCGGAGCTGCCCACGCTTGTTGTGATGAGCACGCGCTTGAGACGCATGTTTCTGACCTTTCCCTTGCGTCCTGCGCCTTGTTGCTTTCCCGTGGTCCAATAAGACCATGGTGGTTCGAGTTTCCGCTGGGCGACCGCATGCCGACGGCAGTAGCACCTTGTTGCAGGTGCACAAGGTCTCTGCTCTCCGATGTTCTCATGACATCATCCAGTGGGAGTCGCGCTATCACTGCTGATAGAAGAATGTGGAGTACCGGTTACGCTGCAAAGTCAGTAGGCGAGTATGGCCGAAAAATGTCACGTTCCCTCGGGCCTGCTTTCCAGAGCTATGTGGATGGATGTATTGACATACTTTTCGCGGAAGGCATGCAAGCTGAAACACTGTTGAAGCTGAGCCTCTTTGCATCATCCATATGAAAATAACCGGCCTGTGCCATCCCAAGTCGACGATCACGGCGGAAATCATGCTTCCACGACAAGCGCTGGATTGAACAAAACGGCTCCAATGACCAATAAGGCTGCAGCGCAATTAGCGAGCGCTGTTGCGTGCCTCTGCACTAGGTTTCGCGAACAATCTGTTAACAGAACCGCCATTGCGATTTTGCATATAGTGCGGTGCATGACTTCATTGGCTTCCGCTGGCCTGTATCCAGCCTGCCGCGCAACGTCCGAGAACTTAGCTTCAAAGGTTCTTAACAACTCGTTTGCAAGGCTTCAAGCAGTCAAGCAACAAACAGAGTTGTTGGTCTAGTTTCCGGCCCACTTTGTAGTTGTAACACATTTGGGGGTGTTTCTTGCTTCGGAGTTGCACGAAAGTGTAGCATTGTAGCCGGGAGTGATCAATCGCTTCTGGAAGGGTGCCACAGTGTAAACAATAGCATCCGCAGCGCGGGTTCCAGCAGCACGGCTTTTGCATGGCGCCCTGTGTGTTGGGAAAGGCGGCGGCAAGATTTTGTTGCAGGTGTACGGAGAACTTGCGTGACAGCACATACGAGTGTGTCAGGCATGGATCGTCACCGCCCATATGCTTCTGCTTGCCTCAGGCTTACACGCGGTCCGGACAGTTTGTCGTGCACGTGTGACTAGCATCCCAATGGCAACCTTGTTGCCAAGGAGCGGGCGCTTGCCAGCCCAACTGGCGGCACATACAGTTTGCGACATCACCGAGCCTTGCCATGTGTTCTATCGCAAGTCTTGTTTAGTAATCTTTTGTTGCCGCTATAACTTAATTAAAACCCATGAAGTTATATAAGTTATTACTGCTGAGTTATGCTGCTTAACACTGTGGCGCCTCGTGCCTGAATCGGAGGGGGAGGTGGGTTCTGACATGGGCTCTTGTTGACAACCTTAACATAGCCCTGAGACGATGGTTGGGTTTGTTGCAAGTTTCACCAGCTTCACGTTACGGCTCGAGACGGCGAACGCAATACTGCCCAACCACGTGATGGCAGGGTTCAGTGTGTCCTTCGTGATCGTCCTACTTCTGTTCGTGCCGATTCTGTTGTCGGTATTGATGATGACCTGGGCATTGGCGGAGGTGGGGCCTGCTCGCAAAGCTATGACGACATTTTTCATGATTGGCTTGCGGGTGCCATTGTACCTTGTATTGACTGCACTTCTCCTGGCCTTGGTCTGGTTGGTGCTCGGATTTCTGGTGCTATTGTTTTCCATGTTCGGGCCCGCAGTACTAGGTTTTTATCTCCTGCCTTTCTCGACAGTGTTTACAAGCGACACTGTATCGAAGCAGATCACACGAGCGCCGCATGCAACGTCGCGGCCAAGAAGTGCAGGATATCATGTGTTGGGGACTTGTTTGTGGCTTGTTGATTGCAGTCCTGAGCTTGTGCAGCTGGTGCAGTTTTGGCATGTTGTCACTTGTGCTCACCTCAAGATCCTCATGTGCCCTTTCATTCGTCATGTGCTTCGTGTACGATTCGCTCTGTCGCTGGTTGGTTCTGGTCCATTGCCGTTGGAGGGCCCTGGCACTCGACGTGCACGAAATCTCACTCGGTTCAAGTTGGTCAGGTCCTGACCACCGAGCCTTGCAAGACTTGTTGGTGGAAGGCTATTCAGCAAAGGATTTAAAGGACCTTGAGGTCAGTCTTGACGATTTGTCTGCTGCAGGATTTTCTACTTGGGATCTGTGGCAAGCCAGAAATCGCGAGAGCGCGTTCGAAGATGCAGGTCTACACGTCGATCTATGTTGGCGCAACAACAGTGGAGAGTGCTAGTGGTCCTGGTTTGTGGTGGTGTTCTTAGCTTGGTTGAGTGCCTTGCCATGCGTTGTGGGTGCACTGAGCTTGCTGATCGTTCTGTCATCCTTGGCAAAGCTCTTGCTGGCTGTCATTTGGCCGGCTTATGGTGGCTGCGGGTGTTGGTGCAGGCACGGCGGCGGCCCAGTGCCAGAAGCTGTTGTGCACCACTGCTGCAAGGTCTGAAGGCTGGTTATCAAGTCGTGTGGGCCAGCGCCGTGCTGACACACATTTGTATTCTCACCCGACGCATGTCTGGAAAGTATAAGATGGTGTTCCAAAGCAGTGACGGAAGCGGTGGAACTTGCAAGGGGGCATCGGGAGCATCTGTCGCTAGATCTTCATCATCTCCCGCTCTTTCCACCAGTCTTCGTTGGCCTGTTTTCCAACTCCTGGGACTTGCACCTCCGAGCCCTCGCAAAAAACGCTTGGGCGTATCCGAAAACACTGTCCAGGAAGCTTGACGGGGTTTGGCTTGTCAAATGCTTCGCCTAGGGCGGCTGGCCGAAGAAGGACTCCTGACTCAAGAATGGGTGGATGAGGCTCCAGGGGAGCTTTGCATTGGTCTTCCGGCACGTGCCTTTTTGGATGCCCTTGAACGCTCCCCGAACAATGAGCCTCTCCCAACGACTGGCTTATCCATAAACGCAGAAGATGTCCCTGGCCTTGGCAGATTTGCCGAGCAGGTTTGGGACTTCTTTTGTCAGGGCCCCCGCTGCTCGAAACGCGGCACACATTGGAGCGGATGTACATCCCTTGCTCTGTGCAGCACTGCCGGCTGGCGGCGAGGATCCGGAAAGCCTTCCTGACGGTCTTGCGACCGCAGTCAGCTTGCCAGGCGATCCTGCGACCTTTACTTGCTTTTGTTTTGGAGTGTAGCAAGCAGGCCGAGTTTAAGGCAAAGCTGGAAATTGTGATTCAGTCCATTTCACACATGGATTCCGACGAGTTCGTCCAGCATCTCTTCGAACCCCGCCACACAACGGAAGATGTTTCGGATGATGATTGAGAAAGGTCGGACAGGATGGCAGTCTCACGTCGTCTTCGAACCAGGGGAATGCGTGACAGCACAGATTGTCAAGCAGAGGTCCGCCAGGTACAGTACAGTGAGTACAGTGTGGTCTTTGAACTGTGGTGGCGTGACGAGCTAACGTCGTGCTTGTCCGTGGCGTCTGTCGGCTGGCCGTTCCTGCAGTTCAGGGTCTGCCACATCAAATCAGACGAGCACGGAGACTCGTGAGAGTGCTGGTTTCTGACAGATTTCATCCCTACCAAACTGCTCTAAAGATTCTTCAACTCTTCGTTGACATGTGCTAAGGATTTGATGCTTCCCAGAACGAGACGGTCCTCCTGGATGAAGCGAGCATTGCAAAATGTGCGCAAGCCTATGTTGAGGACGCAAGAGTACTCGTAACGTATGAACACCATGCCCTTGTAGCTGCTTCTGCGGGAGCACACGCCGCAGGACTGTGGAGCTAGTGGAGAGTGTTGCGATCCTGGCATGCTCGGGGCCCAGCTTGTCGTGCTGAAGCTGGCTGCAGATGCGAGTACCGCTTAAGATGCCCGACCGTCTGGGAGGACGTGCTACGAGAAGCATGCGAAGTGGGCAGCCTGCCTGTTTACGCCTCAGCCAGAGCCAGCTTCGAAAGTCGGATGTTGTCGCCGAGTCCTGTAAATGCCTGGAGGGTTCGGGGCACTAGCGCGGGAGAGGTGTCTCAAAACGGCCCAAACGATCAAGCAGCATTGAGCCTGGCGTCATGTTGTTGCTCGCTTCACTTGTCTCATGAAAAGTGCCCCGTGTGAGAGAGACAGACACACACACACAAACAAACAAACACACACGCGGGCCAAGTGTTGCAAAACTTTTTGCAGGTCCACAGAATGCACGCTATCAGAAGCTCAGGCCCAGTTGTACACCAGGCTTTCAGCCCTGGGTTGACTGGTTCTGGTCCTGCCCTCAGGGGATATTCAAGACGGCTGACGAGTTTTGTCATGAATCCTTCAATCGTTTTGTCAGGCACTGGACGCCGTGGACATGCATGCCCATAGTAGATTCAATCGCACGTGACGAGCTGGGAATAGAGCCTCCTCCTCAGCGGCTTTGCGTGCAGCAGGGTGGTCAGGAGGATTCACGACCAGCGATCAGATGGGCTCGTCGCTTTAACGCCTAGACCTAGATTGGTTAAAGAGTTGCACAGTGGTACCCGCAACCCGGCTTCTGCTCAAGGAAGTTGTGCGCAACATACCTTTCAGGGGCCAGGGGTGCATAATCTTGAGTTGCAGGTGGATGTGCATGGTCTTGTGCAGTGACTGTAGCAACGACGATTGCCCATAGCCGTGCCGAAAGAAAGAGAGAGGGGGTGTGCTTACGAGTGTACCCCTTCGGGGCCGTTAGCAAGCAAGCAAGCAAGCAAGCAAGAGAGAGAGAGAGTCTGCGAGAGCAGACTCGACCCCAACGGAAGGAAGGAAGAGAGAGGGTTCGTGCCTGGGAGAAAAAGGGTTCGCCAGTGCTTAGCAGGTTTCATCATAGCGACGCTACGCCGCTCCGTGCTTCTGCTGGCCCGTCCGGACCTGATCTTTCGTAATTTGAGGCAACCCTAACCTGCATACCTTTATGCACAACCCTAACCTTTTCTTCGCGGCTGAATGCATTTGCTCCAGGGGCTTGTCTCTTCAGTGGCGCAACTTGCGTCAATATGTGCCCAGGCATCGCTACCAGGTCTTTGTGTCGGGTCCTCATTGCCGAGCTGGCATTCGGAGAGCACAGAGTTTGACATAAGCGCCTCGCGCAGGAACAAGTCCAGCGAAACGGGCTCCCCGATTTACGATGGTATCGAGCAAACGTTTGCCTGCCCAGTTGACCAGGTCTTAATTGGCTGAAGTGCTGACTCTAAGAGCACAGGTTCAGGCAACTCCTACAATGTATGACGAAGATCCGCGAAGCCCGGCTGTTGTAAGAGACCTGGATGCGAGAAGCGTAGAACAGAATGCTCAGGCTCAGCATGTTCGAGGTTGCGAAGAGAGAGAATCGCGCAATCTTGGGTCAAGTTTGTACGTAATGCATTCTGACGTTGCTGCTACTGAATGCCAGCGGACCGAAGTGTGGGGTAGACCTCCTCCTGCAGACCTTGGTCCTCTCCGTCTGTGCCAGGCGCCTGACGTTCGTCAAGTCGGCAGATTCCCCAGAAGGGCGAGTTCAGGAGCACACAGTTGCCCGTTTGCAGGCCAGGCAGGAGATAGGCCGCGCGGTTTGACAGCGCATACACTGTCTGGTTCTGGCAGTCTGGTAGTGTAGCGGCCGCAGCAGAACGTGCTTGGATTGAGTGCTCAATCCCTCGCTTTGCCGTTGGGAGGTGGTGGTTGCTGTACAAGGTTGGATCCTAATTAGTCGGTTTTATTTATGCTCCTGACTTATATAACTCTTCAATGCGGGCTCGTCCTAGCTAAGTGAGAGGCACAACAAGTCGCTTCTAAACTTACATATAGACCTCGCGCTTTTCAGACCTGAGTTGCAGCCGTTCTGATGGTTGCGGGAACGAGTCGCAGCTGCTAAGTTATTGCGTTCCATGCGAGTCTCAACACGAAAAGCTTGCTTTGCGTTGACCACTGTGTGCCACACTGTGTGCTGCAGTGTTTCCAGAACCTTGCAGGATCTTAGTCTAAGAAGAAATGGGCTGCTACTCATCCGTGCCGGTCGCGCCGCAAACGGCTTCTTCTACACATTCTGCTTTCACGAGACCGCCGGATGCTGTCGGCACGTTCCTGCGAATGATCATGATCAACGATGTTTACATTCTGGACAACTACCCGAAGTTAGCGGCTGCTGTTGTCATGGCTCGAAAGCTGAGCGAATCGCAGAACTGCGTGGTGACCTCGCACTTGAACGGTGATTTCTTGTCGCCTTGCATCCACACGGCCCTGGACGGTGGAACAACTATGATGCAAGCTTTGAACTACGCGAAACTGGACTATGCCTGCTTAGGCAATCACGAGTTCGACATGAACAAAAAGCAGCTCCAAGTTCGGTTGCCGATTTTCAGAGGCCAGCATCACATCGCCGAAAGCTTTAGGTTTTTCTTTCGCAGCATCCAAGTTGAAGCGGTGCCATTTGCCAGGCAAGCTGATCAACAGCAATGGGGAGGACCCCGAGTTGAGCAGTTTGCCGAAGTTTGATGTGATCAAAGTCGGTGACAAGAATGTCCTCTTCACTGGATTGTGCACCCAAGATACATCCATCTACTCTGCGAAGGGCTGCCCCGTCATGCGACCTTTCCTAGAGTCCTGCACGACGGCATGGCATGAGGCGTCGAAGAAGCAGGCGCTCGACATTATGGTGCCTATGACACATCAGCTCATCGCCGAAGACCGCGCCCTAGCTCTGGACTTCCAGAAAGATGACGTTTTTCAAGGCAAAGTCTGACCCTGAGACAAGACAGAGCTGAGTCAGAGATCGTTTCGGCGCAAAGTTGCCCGTCGGGCCGCCAAGCTGCTAAGCTGTGCTGAGGTTCCTGTGATCCTCGGGGGCCACGAGCATGAAGTCTTCGAGGAGTGTAGCGGGGACTCCCTGATTCTGAAGGTTGGTCAAGATGCTGTCAACCTTGGTGTCATCGATGTTTGGTGGACGGAATCGGGGGAGGCTCGTCACGTGATCCTTGATTGGCACGTCTCAGACGCGTTCACTTATTGTGTAGCCTCGGTCGTGAGGTCAAGCGCCGGCATTGCATGGTGCCAGCTGCAGCCTTCGACGCCGAAGAGAAGGCAGCAGCCTGGACGAAGGAGCGCAAAGACTTCGTGGTCAAAGCCATGGAGGCCTGCGTTCAGATGGCGTCGTAACGCAGAATTGTTGACGGCTGAATGTGCGAATAAAGCACTGCTGCTTGCAACAAGACGTGCAGACCAGGCGGCCATCACGGACTTGCCCTGCGAGATGTCCAGCCTCAATGTGCGCTACGAGCCGTCCAACTTGGCGTCGTTTCTTCTTCAGAAGTTCAAGCGCGGTCCCCTGCCCAGAATCTTCACGAGGTCGGGAATGGTTGCTCGCATTCAACGGTTGGGTCGTGCCCGGGGCTGTGCGAGACTAAGGCTTACATCAGCACGAGGTAGAGGTTGTGGCCATGAATGGTGGGGGGATGCGTGGCAAGCAGTGCTACAAGCCCGGCAACTTCACCTTGGGGGACCTGTACAAAGAGTTGGCCTTCGACGAAGTATCTTGGCTTAGCTTGGACTGTCAGAGCAAAGGCTTCTGTCGCGAATCAGTCGGGTCTTGAAAATCTGCAGAACTGCCAACTGAGCCATTCGCTGTGGTGACGATGACTGGCTCCATTTTGGCAGAAGCCGTGAAGCAATCTCGTGCTGGTACCCTCGAGCGGCCGGGCTTCCTCCACTTGGATGACGGATGCTATGTCGATGCCGACCATCAGCTCACGATGGTCAATCAGCAGCCTTTCGTTGATGAGCAGGAGTACAAGGCACGATCTAGTTTGTGGCCTCCCGCCCATGATGTCCCAAAGCAGAGAAAAGAGCGCCAGGTTTGTTTTCCCAGATCTCTTCTGAGTGGAATGAACAGCATCCAGCCGCTCATCGATTTCGGTAAGGAAAAAGGCATCCCTGACGAAGCACCTTGACTATCTAGTGTCGTCACGGACACCTGATTGCTGTAGTACAACCTTGCAGCCCTTTATCTGAGGAAAGTAGTGTTCTGGCAAAGCCGGTCATCGTGGAGGTGGGCAGACGATTTCCAGATGCACCCAACCGTAGCGAGCACTGGCTTGCCCCAGACAGCCTTGGGATGATCGGGGAAGTAGTGTTCTGGATGAGGTCTGCATGAAGGACTTGTGGAGGCAGCTGCTGGGATATTCTGCATGGGGCATGCAACTTGCCTGCATGGATCATTTATTGCTAGAAACGGCAAAGATGTGTTCGCGCGAGAAATCAAGGCCCCACGAGGATGCTATTGACTCGATGGGGCTCAAGGACGGACTCTTCAGAGCTTTCGCGGACCTCGACAAAGATCGAAGCCTCTCGGACAAGAGAGTTTCTGGCTTTCGTGGTACGGCCTTTTTCCGCAATAGTTGTCTCGATCTCCACCCGGAGTGTGCAGAAATTCCATCGGCTCCACGGCAGCTTTGCCCTTTGCTTGAACCCTCGGCAGTTCTTCGGCCCTCGTGTGGAACCGAGGGACATGACTTCGGGGCCGAGGAACTCCAGCTGAGAGTGTTAAACCGCGTAACCCATGACGCGGCTTCGTTCTGAGCCTTTCCTGCCTGAGTGAAAGTCTTGAGCTCCTGGCGACCTACTCCCAAACGTTGCAAGCACATTGAACCGACGAGGTGTTCGGAGCATGCAGACCATGGTGCATACTGATGGAAGCTGGTGCTCAGGTGGATTGGCAGATTCCACGGAGATCGAGACATTTCTGAAGACGCGGATGCCAGAACATGCCTCCGGATCTTTAGCACATGAGCTGCGCCTTTGACAGCAGAGGGAAGTGCATTGTGTAAGGTGAGTCCTTGAGGTTAAACTCCTTCAGAGATTGCAGTTTGCTGTTTCGACACTGGCATTCCAGGCTGAAAGCCGTTGACAAGGACGGCAATGGAAAGGCGAAGACCAGTTTTGACGCCCGACCCGAACACCCTAGTGGCCCTCTGTTAGCTGTGCCGAAGCCAGGTGCAGATTGAGGAGCTCGCCAGCTTCCTACATTGAGAGCAAGGCAGGACGCCTCACCTGGCCGTAGCACTTAGCACATTGACGCCCTTTTTCATGTCGTGCTCTCGCTGGACAGGTTGGTTCAAGAAGATGGGTGTTACCAACAAGACTTTGAGCCCTCTCGGCCTTCAGTGCTGAAGTGTGTCGGGAGGATAGCTGAGATGGGCTTTGTCGGATGCGCCTAGGCCGTATGAGTACCCCGGGGTGCACATTACCTCTTACGATTTTCCATACTGGTGCATGGGATGAGCATCGACTCCTTATCACCTTGTCGGCACACACCCGCGTACGGAGCAGATGCGTTGGAAACCGCCGAGGACTTTGCTCGATTGGGCCAGGCCGCAAGGCATCATGGACTCGTGCCCGTGCCCTGAACCCCACCGCCCGCTGCAAGCCTACAGTGCCATTTCCCGAGCTTGCACAACACACCAACAACTCGGCAGACGGGTATCCACGACGAAAAGGCGAAGTCTGGTTTTGCTTGCGTCGCGTAAAGCCCGGATAGCCTGCCAGGAGGGGCAGACGGGACGGCATCATTGTCGTCAAGTGCACTTCATTTGTTCCCATTCTTGTCCATGGGTTTGAACCAAAACCGGTTCAACGAAGAAGCAACACCAGCCGTCACCAGCCGAAATCAACGTGTTCCTTTCAAATGCTTGCCCTGCCAGCAGTTCCTGCAACCGAAACCACCCAAACCACAGACCAGGGCAAATGGCGAGTGTTGTGCTGCGCTGTTTGCTTGCAAAATCACTGCCATACCCAAGGGATCTAACACAGGAGAAAAATGGCGCCTCAAACTGCCTTCAATCATGAATCGCGATGCTGCTCGTTACAAGCCATGTCCCAGCTTTTCCGGCCCAGTCTCTGCGTCCCAATGATCTGTCCCGTCATGCCGTGCGCTGGCTGGCCGCTGCAGCCGCTGCACCTGCGGAAATGGCCTATTGTTGGAAAGCTTTTCTCCAAGCTTACGCTGGCCGATCTCCTGAATACCTTGCCTCGAACGGAGGTCTGTTTCGACATCTAGGATTTCAAAAGACACATCTGCAGGTTCAGCAAGCCGCACCTAATATGTCCCGGCAGGCTCAAGTCTCGATCCGCGTGCCTGTATGAGCTTGCAGCTTACCGTCTGCCCTTGCGCGATGATGCAGAGTCCAATGACGAGTCGTCTACCCGGCTTTGTGAGTCCGACATCCTATTGAGATCCGAACTGCCTCAAGTGGCTTTTCCAGCGGGTGCCAGTCATCGCTGACCAAGGCCGCCATGATTCTCCAAACCGCTTCTCCACCACCCTCCATCAATCCAGTTTTGCCGAGCCGAAGTCGCAGTCTGTTGCCGTCGGGGGGTCGAATAGCTCTCGGGAATCCAGCATCAGCGAAATTGCCCGGGTTTGAAAGGTGACCTGTTCGACAACGTGCAACATACCTGCAAAGATGGTGCCCGACGGACATCTCAGTCATTTTTAGCGCTGCACTCGTGCTAGCAATCCTTCTATAAGATTTCCGCATGGTGGACGTGCATGCCGAATGGCCGATGCACCGATCTGGAGTGCAGGTTCGCGAGACGGGCACTGGAGCAGTCCATGGGTCAGTTTCTGTTAGTCAGGCAAGCAGCACGGCAAGACTGCATGGTAATTAGTAGGGTGTTGTAGGAGTTGCTTTTGCTTGTACTGGGACTGCAGTGGAATGTCAGTGTCCCATCGCTGCCGACTGCTCGTGCATGACATTGCAGGGGCCGTGAGGCTCCTTCCGACTGCAAAAGCAGGGGTGAAAGAAACGACTGCGGCAGTCTGTTTTGGAGCACGCTCAGGAAGCTTAGGCAAGCACCATGGTCTTAAGATGTTTTAAGCACTGGAAGATCACACCTCGTGCCTCTGAGGCCAACGAGTGCAAAGCACTTTGCGACAACGACAGGAGGTGCAGGGACGGAGCCTTCCAAGTTACTTCCAACCCAAGTTATCTGAGAATTCCGGCACCGGACATAGTTCACGATCCAGGTTCGTCTTGCCCGTAGCCGCAGTGCATGCTGGAAAGACTGCAGACCCCCTTGCGCACCGAAGACCTTATTCTTTGAATGGTTTCCAGGCAAGTCAGCTTAGTTGCATTCGTCGTGTAGTTTCTCAGAGAATACCCGTTGCAGATGCGATGGCAAGGAGAGGCTGGCTTCCCTTTCTTGGATGTCTTTCCGTGGTGACTCTAGCTGTCAGCTTTGGGGAAAGTGAGGCTTTGTTGCTGCCCCAGCTTGAGAGAAAGCTTGCAGAGGAGGCCACACTGCTCAGCAGGATGGATCCCCAGCAAGATGAGGCTCTACGAAGATGGTCGGAGGCTGTGGAAGCTTCGCGCTGCTCGATGCTGTTGCGGGCACGCCTGAGCAGTGGGCCAGTTGTGGACCTTGGTGGTGTCTCCATGATTACCGGCTGGCTGCTTCGAGAGCGCAAAGTTGTGATCTCCTTCGGAGGGTCCGGAAACTCGAAAACGCGTCTGGAAGGACTGCCAGGCTTCGTCGAGGTTGATGCTGACGTGCAGCTGGAAGCTTTGATAGGTATTTTGCATCAGCTCCGACTTGAACCAACCCTGTTCTTGCAATCCACCCTTCTCTTGGGGCAAGAGGGGGTGGTCCGGCGAGGTGACATCGAAAGCCTTTCATCGCTGCGTGTACAATTTCCCCACATGCCGGTGCTCGGCTCTCTTCTGACAGATCAAGGCCAGGAAGTGCCCCATTGGATCCTCCCCTCCTTTGTTGCGCCTTTGCTGGGATCTTCGAACAACATGATGGTCGAACTTCCTTGCTGGGCGGCAGGGGGATGCATCCAGAAAGCGCGACCACTGCTGGCCCTCGTCATGATCGTCAAAAATGAAGCCCGGCGAATTCGCGAGACTATCGAATCCGCTGTAGGAGCTATAGACTCCGCCGTTATATTGGACACTGGATCGACTGACTCCACTCGGCAGATCTTGAGGGCGGCATCGGAGACGGCATCACTACCTCTCGAGATTTATGAGGAGCCTTTTGTCGACTTTGCCACAACACGCAATCGTGTCCTGCAACTGGCTGGAAACAGAACTGAGTTCGTTCTGATGCTGAGTGGTGATGAAACCGTCAGGAACCCTGGCGAGCTTCGAACGTTTGTAAGGCAGCACTCCGGCTATTGTGGCGGCACTGAGGATGTTTTTAATGTTCGAGTGGTCATGGGACCGAAGGCATGGTACTGGTCGGAGAGAATATTGCGAGCGGACAACCATGCTAAGCCTGGGTGGCCGCTTGCAGACAATTCCACATGGCGCTACGTAGGAGTGACGCATGAGGCATACATCAATCCAATGAGAACCCTGAGCAACGATCTTTTCATAAATTATGTCGGAGACACAGACAAAGCACTGTTGCCACCACTTCGTGGAGAGGTGGCTGGGAGCTTCTGGATTTCACACGATGCGCAGAAGTCCTCTGAAGAGTCGCACAGGCGCCTTCGTCAGGATGTTCAGTTGTTGGAGGGTTTCCTGAATCAACGGGAGGCGCATTCTGACCGCTGGCAATACACCAGGGCAATCTTCTACCTAGCTCAGTCCCACCGCTCCCTCAGGAACTTCGACATTGCCAAAGATCTTTGGGAGCGATACTTGGCTTCTGATCTTGCGCTGTGGCGACAGTTTTCGTACCTTCGCTATGGTGCCCACATTGGACTGGGGCAGATATGTGCTGAAGCTGGTTCTCTGTTCGGAGATGAAGCAAGCAAGTGCAGACATCATTTCCTGGAAGCTCACCGCTTGTGTCCCCGGGCAGAGCCGCTGGTGTATTTGGCTTTTATGCTACAAGAAGGCAGTGAGGAGCGATTGGAGGTGCTGCGGAAGGCGGAAAGCGTCATGCACCTGGAAGCGTCCACTGGACACTGTGCAGTATATGCCGAGCCTGCACTATACCTTCAGATTCGTCCGATGATCTCAAAGGAGCAAGCATTACTAGCAAAAGTGGAGCTGCCACATTACATCACTCAACAGTACCTGTGCCATTCAAGGGTCGTTATGCCAGCCGCCGAATTTCGGTTAAGATTGTAGTTGTTGGGCCCATCTGGACTATCTTATTGCTCCTTAGGGCAGTTCTCGACGGTGAGGCGACTCCAAACTCCAAACCCTGCAGGCAAGAGTCAAGCTTGTTATAGCTCCGACGATGCAGTGCGGGAGGTCGCCAACGTCCCCAAGCTCTGCTACCATCACCGAAGGATTAGCACCATGCTGATGAGACTTCGGAGTTGGGGATGATGCCATACACACAGGGTTGAGATGTACTGCATGTACCCAGGGGAGAGGGACTAACGTCTTCTCGGCTTGAGTGTACCTGGACTCATAGGAAGTAAACGGCAGCGTGTGTAGGCCCAGAGCTACAGTGGATTTGATGAGCAGTCTTTGAATGGCCCGCCGCTTGCTGTTTTCATGATCGGGTACTGTAGTTTTTGTTTTTCACCTTTCATCTTTTCGAAGTTGGGGCAGAAATCTCTGATATCAGGTGCGATTGCTTTATGCCTGGGGCTTGGATGTGCGCGCTTTGCACCACTGCGGAAACTGCTTGAGTCAGACATTTTCCGCTGTACTCGTCCGCTTGCACGGCAAATCGCCGCTAAGGTATTCGAATTCGACGCAACACTGCGACAAACGTTGCGTCCTTGGTCTTGCTTCTTTCGCATGTCACCGCGGCGATGCTCGGCGATCTCCAGCCGATGCCGCAGTCGGTAGGGGTCAGCCCTCAGGCCGTGCGTGTGCGCCAACAGTGCATGACTTGAAGGACTGGCATACTGGCATGCGTTTTGAATTTAATGTCGATGTGTTGATTGAACTTAATGGCAGTTGTGGCCCCCGGTTGCTAGCTGCAAATGCCTACCTGCATTCCAATTCGTGCCCTGAGTTCGGATGTCGCTGCTTTTGTTCTGCAGGATGCTGTCGGCAAGAGTTTCTACCTCAAGGAACCGCATGAGGACTAAACCGGCATGAGCATCGATTGGCATGTTCGCGATGCAGCCTCTCAGACCTGCGGCTCGTCATCGGGGCTTGACTACACGCTCCATTGTCAAGACTAGCTACAGCTGCCAGGAGACTTCTTCCGTCTCCTGGAAAGAGTTTCCGCACTCGAACCTGTTCTACTCGCGAAGCCGACATGTTTGTTTCCACATCCTTTGTTCCAGGTTTCAATCCAGTAGCAGTGGGTGTGTCGTTCGGGGTTGCTGACCCCCGCTTCTGCACAAGTGTCAGCCGCTTTACAAGAGAGCGACATGAGCTTGACGGGGGGGGGGCGGGGGTGGGGTCCTAGAGGTTGATACGAGGTTTTGAAAAGGTCGTGCTCTGCGAGCCTCGCTTGGTGCAAGTTTGGCTGTGGCTTGTGCCTCAAGTTCTTGGCAGGACTGGCCTGCGGATAGATGATGAGGACGGTCTGGAACGAGTGCTCTGACGAAGCCCAGAAGTGAGCGAATGGCCCCGTGTGCTAACAAGTCTTTGGCTTGCCTGCGCAGCCGTGCGGGGACGGAGTGTTTGGTGTTGAGACTTGCGTTGCTACTGGAAGTTATAATCCGCTGAATCTCTTCTGCAGTGCAGTCGCACCGCCTGCTGCAACCTGCCCCTCATGCGTATCAACGGTTTCGTGACGGTTCTTGTTTGATCTGTGCTCTTATGTATTTCCGCACCGGGTGATGTTTCCAGTTCAAGTCATCCTCAAAGACTAGCTCGTCTTCGAGCTTTTCACAGTTACTGCAGGCTATGTTTGCATTGGGAGGACTATGGTGCGTCGACCCTGAAGTCCTGCAAGCGCCGCTGTGAAATCAGCAAGTGTGGTGCCGAATGTGGGATGGAGTTTCGGGGCAGCTCGTTGGAAGTACTGGCCGTAGGACAGGCATCATCACAGCTGCCCTGGCACTGAATTAGACTAGTTTCGCTCCACAGTCAAGCCTGTGCGGATCCTAGACCACTAACTGTAGTGTTGAGGCCTCAGGCAGGCTCTGTAATTCAGTTGCATCCTCAACTATAAGGTCTTGCCAATGCTTGAGATATGCCAAGGCAGGAGCCCCAGAGAGACATGATTTTTTGTGGATCTAAATGCGGAGGGCTTGCATCTGGAAGCGTCAACTGCCCAAGACTCTTTCACGTCTCAGTAACCTCGCCTGCACGCCTTCGGAGAAGCCGGCTGAGGTTTTTGCCAGGTGTGAACGATATACAGACTGCAGCAATACGGATTTGGCCAGGAGCTTATGCTTGAACGCTCCAGAAAGCATCTTCCCGGCTTCCGTTCGCAGAATGCTTCGAAATGTGTCTACGGCACGGATGGTGCATCATGCCCTTTGAGAGGCATCAAAGCTTCAAGACTCCTTTCGTCCTCCTGCATCCTCCCGGGACCTCTGCAGAGTGAAGTTTCTCTTCTTCCGTTCTCCGCAGATCGAAGATGAACTTTACGATGTCGTGGCCCCGGCTTTCGAAGGTCCATGTACATGGGCGTGCGAAACCTTGTCATTGTCGCCCCAGCACCCCAAGAAGAAATTTGTCGGTGCATGTGACGAGATGCTGCAGGACTGTCGGTTGTCGCATGCACCAACTGGCTCGTGAGGTGTACATCAAGGAGTTGCCGATGCTTCAGGACTTCTTCAGTCCAGACCAGCTCTTGTGGGCCTCGACAAGCCCATTTCTTTGCACCGCACCTTACCACCAGGAGCCCCAAGACATAGCCTGGTGGTTCGTCTTGCGGCTGGTTGTTCTAGCCGGGGCCACGGCATACTTTGCGTCGTACGCAGTCACCATGCACGGCATACGAACTACCGGCTTGCAAGACTGCATGTTCTGTTGGCGGCAACCGGTCGAGACCAAAAGGCATGAAATTCCCTCACAAACAGTTACGCATGAGAGTGACAACAGGCCCGCTAGAGTAGCAGGTCGCCAAGGCTGCAGTCGTGTGTGCTGGAAGTCCCAGGTGCTGCTGCTGCTGCTCTTGTGCTGTCTGCTGCCGGAGCCTAAGCTCTTGAACCGCAGCTTCACAGCGCACTGCTTTCTCCGAGGTTGCATGCCTGGTGCGCACGAGTTGACCATGTGCCCCGAATCTCAGGTTGGTCTTCTTGCGGAGGAAGAAGGCACTTCGGTCCTGCGATGTCCTGTGTCGATTGGTGTTGGTTGTGGCTTGTCGGCGAAAGCTGGGCGAGGAGGGTGTGGAGATTTGGCTGCGCTGCTATGTGAGTAGTGGAACATTTGTGTAGCTTTGTGTTACGTCTGTTACGTGTTTTGGATAGGGGAGGGAATCGGCGCTTCAGGATCCGCAGCCTGCCTGAAGCTCAGACAGCAAAACGTCGCGTTGTGCGTGTGCTCAGCTGCCACTGAGAGTAGTCGGAACGTGACTAATTGGAGCGGGCCACCACTGGGCAAGACTGTGTCACTGCAGGAATACGTGCCGTTGTTGCCAACTCAGACCAGGCCGTTTGGTTGCTGAGATAAGCCAGACCTTCGCAGAGAGAGGGAGAGAGACCGAGCGCGAGAGAGGCGACACAGGCCATGCAGAGGCCCGGGGCCTCACAACATGATGTCTCACGATAGGGCCCTTCAAACTGTGAGCATCCACACATGTGTAATGAACGTGACTAAGTCGGGCCCCCGACAGTACAGGGCGTAGCCACGACCCCAAGGCCCGGCACTGAAGGGGTCCGGCTAACGTCGGACTCATCCCGTCGGGGAAGGACGGAAGACAGCGAGAGGAAACATGGTGAAAGAAAGATGCAGCAAGCTAAAGAAGGCATCACGCCAGAACCAGAGTCTAGGACGTACCTCCCGTAAGTTGGATTGATGTGCAGGTTGGACATGTTTGCGGACGCTGCTCTCGTCGACAGGTGAACGACGGGTTCATGGTCAAAACATGTTGAAGCTTCGACCCGCGAATCTGGCAAAGCTCACTTTCCGGTTACTTTGGAAGTTTGTAATTTTGGTGAGCATGTTCGGGACGGCTCTAAATTGTGTGAGGGTTGAGTGTGCCGGTCCCGCGCCTTGAGACAGAAGCCGCTTACCAGGTGGCCAGGCGGCTGCGCCGATTGTGGTGTGGGTCTCATCCACCGTCAGAGTGCAAGAGATTCATGGGCCCCTTTTAAACTTCGAAGAAGTTTTTCACTGGTCGTCCAAACTACCCACTGAGGCGTTGCCTGTGGCCGGCCTCCGCACGAGCCTTAAGACAGAGTTTTCCTGCACGTCCGTCACAACTTGCTGTCCAGCGTGAGCCCTGGTGCATCTTTCAGGGCCTGGGTGCCGCGAAGTGGTGCTGTTGTTGTCACGGAGGCTCTGCTTCCCAGGAGCGTGGCCTCTAGGTGCGGGTTGGGGTCTTTGTCCCAGCAGGCTTGCCAATCCAATGTGCGCGGCAGGCCGTGCTATGACATGCTCTTGACGTGTTTGGTTCTCTCCCGATTTCTGAAGTGAGCAGCTACAGGCCGGATGACGGGCTGATGCCAGGAGATGTGCTGCTGAACATACGCCGCTGGTGGCTCAGGTCATTGCAAGTTTCTGGGTAGACATGCAACGCTTGCTGCCTGGAGATTCGGTGTCGCTGTTGAAACTCAGTTATGCAACACGTGTTTTTTTTTTTCACGGCTGGCTCAGCTTTGACTTGGTTCCCCAAAGTCACGTTGTACTAAGACACTGACTGTCTCCACGCCTTCACGACTGCTCTAGGCAACGGACGGACTGTCAGTGCAATCCACTGCACGGACGATGTGAAGGAGGCTGAATAGATCGCGTGCGCCGTTTGCATGGTTCGTAGTTAGTCGAACTGTCTCATAAAGTGCTTTCGGCATTGCTACATGCGCTGGACCTAGAATCAATGTAGAACTCACACCGGAGAGACGTGGCGGTCCCGTGTGTGTGGGCTTGGGCTCAAGAAGCATTTGCTCAAGCAGTGGTTCTCGGCTTGAACCTATCTGGCGGCAGCCTGTCGCAAGAGATTTGTACTGCTGCGTTCTTAACGAAATGAAGTCGTCCACGAACCATACAGGAACAGCGGTGGACCAAGCCTGGTAACCTAGTATTGCGTTGGGCGTTTGTCGAGGGGCAAGTCAGTCTAAGCCATCCCAAGCCGCGCAAAATAGATCCTGAGCATATGCGCTTGCTCAACCTGAAGAGCAGGGAGAGCTGGAAAGACTTTCAGAACGCTTTTGCGAAATCTGGAAAACCTGAATAGCAAGCGTCGGCTGCAGTTTTTGCGAGCTTACTCACAGAACTCAGGAGAGATGCTCCGTCGGCACAGTCGCAGCTGTGCATGGCTTTGGCTGGTGTCGCCCATGGCGATGCTCTGGCTGGTGTGGGCACCAGAGGTGTGGGATAGATGAAGTTGTCGTGACCACCCTAACAGCTGACGACTGACGACGTGCCTGAAGTGGCATGATGCAAATGAACCTGCCCCTGAAGGGCTCGCCTCTGTCGCCGGTGGCTTTCAGCAAGCCCGACAGTGAAGATCCAGTGGAACGGGCCAAGCGGTTGCTCCGGGAGGCCGATGCAGTCTTCTTCGACGTGGACAGCTCCTTATTTTGAGCTTAAGGATATTTAGGGCAAGTGTAGGGTTTAGGAGGGCAGACGGCGGTCCGAGCTCGACGCGCCGAAATTTAGGCACTGTGGTCACGACCGAGGGCATTGACCTGATTGGGAAATGTTTTGGGATAATGAAAGAGATCTCCGAGCTCACCCACAAAGCCATGAATGGGAACGTGAAGTTTCAGGCCTGGCTGCGAACTCCATGTCGCCTTCACGAAGGTGCTGACTCCGACCCTGCTCTCACAGGATGCCATGGCAGAGAGGCTGCAGCTCATGGCCGACCACGGCATGACTCGAGACAAGCTGGAGGAGTGCATTAAAACCGAAGGCTGTCGGAGCACGTAGACTCGACGTAGACTAGTAGAGAGCTAAGACCGGCCCTCCGGGGGCCAAAGAATCAGCTTCGAGAGTCAGGCACGCCGCAATGGTCACCAGGCGTGCAAGAGGTCGTGAAGATGCTTCACAAGCAAGGAACAGACGCTCTTCAGCTGCATCACTTTAAGTTGATGCTTTTATGTGGACATGTCTTTGTCAGCCAAGGTTTATCTCGTATCTGGAGGCTTCCAGAATATGATCAAGCCGATTGCGTGCCTTCGCGCAAGCGAGATGAATCGGTCACTTCAGATTCAGCCGTGCGGTCCCGGTCGGAGTATGCTACAGAGAAGTCGTCGCCGTCTCATGGGCTCGTCATTCTTGAGCATTGCTTCCGCGATGATAAGGCTAGAGCTGCACATCCCACAGAAGATGATCTACGCGCCACTTTGATGTGCAAGAGTTCTCAATGGAAATTTCGGCAGGTTTGTTGGGACGAAGGACAGGTTCAGTCATGTTCGACAGGAACGAGATACTGTTCGACGAGCAGGGTAACTATGCCGGCTTCGACCGATCGGCTCCTACGTCTGCCTCCGGAGGAAAGCCCAAGGTCTTGCGGATGATGTGGCGTGCACTGATTCAGCTTTTTGTTTGCTTCTTGTTTGTCGTATGCACAGCTTGTAGGTGGCGTGGCTCATTGCTGTCAGATGATAAGAGACGTGACATGACATGGCATCGGCATAATTAATTTCAGTACTATGGAAGGGCAGTCAGCCCGCAAGCAAGTCTTAGCCCTGCTCACCATCGCCAAACAGTGCCTTGTTTGTCATGAACCTGCTGGACTGCTTGGGGTCTCAGGAAGCGGAAGAAAGGCTACAAGACCATGATCATGTTCGGGGATGGCGCGACGGACCTGGATGCTCGATCAAATGGTCCGGCCAGCGCTTTCATTGGCTATGGCAGCTTGGCGCCTTACAGGAGTCGCTTTTGGGCCTCAAGCCGCTTGTTGCTGAGGTGGTGTTCAGGAACGAGAGAAAGTGAAGAAGGGAGCTGACTGGCTCCCTGTCTCGCCAGATAGTTGATGGAACGCACCATTTTGCGCCATAGTAATACAGTCACCCGGATAGATCCAGACCGCAGCTGTCAGACGCTCAGCCTAGGTTCATTACTAGCTTCCAAGAAGTGCTCGAGACTGGCCTGCACTCCTTGCTGGCTGATTTGGCTTGCGCAGCAGCTTTCAGCACCCTTCGACAGGATTTGACGTGGCGAGTGTGCCACACAAGACAATCGTGCCTTGTGGCAGCTGAGGATGTGCTGCCAAAGGGCACGGACCTGTGATTTCCAGTGCTCCCGGACTGCCATAGTTTAGACTGAAGCTTAGACCTTGCGCATGAGCAAGGGAGATCAAAAACTGCTAGCCCTCGATGGGCTGCTCGGAGCGGCGCCGTTCCGCCTAGGCGTGATTAAAATTTCTGTTTTGCTTTGGGTGCACTGGCAAAGGGAGCCTCCACGATCGGGCGTGCCACCTGTCACTTGCCTGCTGCTGTACCCTGTACCCAACTTTTATCACTTTGCGACATTTTGTTTGCGCCCTGCGGCCGATAGTTTCATAGCGACTAATCTTTTGAACGGACAGAGACCAGCATCTCTGCACTCTCGGAGTGCAAGAGGTGCGGTTCAGCTAGGCTCTTGTGCTGTCTGAAGACAGATCGTTCCAGAGGCAAAAAAGGTGTAAGCAGCTCGTGTGCGGACCTAGCAAAAGTGATGCTGGCATGCAGCACTTTCCGTGAGTCTCGGGGATGGCTGTTCACGCTAGGCCGTGCGGACCTGTCAGCTCGACCCTGAGTGGACACCAGCAGCCTTCATTTCCTTGTTGGGCTCCTTCCTTATTGAATCTGGCTGACTTCAGGGTAGGTGAAATCATCGACCTCGAGGTCCGGGGCTCGGCAAGAGTCCTGCGCATTGGCATGGCTACACCTTTCGCCTCGGCATGTGAGCAAGTTAGGTAGTGATGGTGAGGCGTGTGACAGAACTTCCGCATCCGAGGGTGTAGTGCGGACACAGTACCAACAAATATATGAGAATAGTACACTCGCTGTCACGGGCTGTATGGGACAACAAACAGATGATCAAGCCACGATGAATCACGAGTATGAACAACAGCATTATGAAGAACGCCACCCTCCCTTGTCACATTCACATCCGTCTCATGCACATCTTGCTCACATGTGTCACTAGGGGCAGCAGCCATGCCGGCGACCCCGTTTCGACCCCCCNNCCCCCCCCCCCCCCCCCCCCCACTTAAGCAGTCCTCACTGCAGTCTGTGTGTGCGAGCTGCTGTGCTGGCGACCAACATTGCACTGGGGCCCTGGAGTGTGATGTGCATTGATATGTCTCTGTGGCTCAGGTCCTGCGGGTCCGAGGGGACTGGAATTCTCGACCACTTCCCCCCGACGAAGTGCCTCTCATCCAGGTACCGCCGTGGTTTCATCAGACTCCCACCGTCTAAGATTTGCTTGTCATCTGTCAGGCATCAATGGACTCTCCCGCAGAAGTGGAGAAGGCGTTATCAGTATAAGCATGCAAGAGAACTGCACATGGGGGATTGGGCATGTTCAACGGCCATTTGCAGAGGCTGCTCTGCCAACCCACAAGAAGGTGCGATTGCCTCTGGGAGCGTGGAAGACGACCAGCTTCTACCTGCCTTCTGCGAGTGCTCTGCGAATGCATGTAGCAATCTGCGGAGATGGCATGTAGAGTACTTGCAAAATAGATGCAGCTGTCTCATTGCGGATGCCGTTGCGAATGGGCTGCAGCACTTAGATGTCCGCCCACCGTGGCCCCGAGCTCTTCGATAGAGAGGCCATACCGCCTCTTCTCGTTTCCTGTATGCGAACTGAATACCGCCGTGCAGTGTGAGAGAGAGAGAGACTTGTGCAAAGTAGTTGACACGCCGTGTGCTGTCAAGCCATTTGAGCTGTGCTCGTGGGGGCAACTCCCTTTTATCCTTGACAATCCTTGGCCATCGAAGTGGGCGTGAGGAGAAGTGCGGGGTTGCTCAGGCTCGAACCGCTTAGAGAAGCATTGTTTGCCTTTCGGGGCTCCGACCGTCTCTTTACCCAGAACTCAACAGAGGGGGGGGGCCGACTACCGAACACCACGTGTAGCTGCAGTTGCTCGGGTTGAGGCCTTGCGAGGCAACTGTCTAGCATGCACACCGATCTAATTTGGATTGTCTCAGAGTGCACCTCGTACAACTTATCCTAAGAGGGCTTTCTTCCAAGCAACTGGACAAAGCCAGATGATGGATCAAGTATTTACCTCCAGTGGTAAAGCAGGCAGCGAGCTTTGTCTCTGGGTCCCCTTGGGTGCTTGAGGGGAAAGCGTTTATCGATTTCCAGTTCATTTTGGCGTTCCTGGGTCCGTGTGGTCGGCAGGCTCGGAGCCATGCGTGGCATACGCTGGACGCTGGCGCTCCTCCTGTGCGTGGATGCTGCCTGGCAGCAGCTGCCTCTTTGAGCAGGGCAGCTTTCGGCTTTCGGGTCCAGAGACTGCCAGCTGCCAGAGCAGAAAGAGGTGCAATCGGACAGGGGCTCCCACCGAAACTCTGTGCTGAGGCTTCTGGGCAAATTATCAAGCCGGCAGATTACGCACCTTTGCGAAGTTGGCCGAGATTTTTCGGAAGTGTGAGCCGGAACTTGAAGAAGCTCCGCGCACAAGATGCTGCTTTCACTACTGTCATTCCTATGCAGGTTACCGTTGTCGATGCTGCCTTCAGACATTTGTTTGCTTCGTGCACATTTCGACATCACATTACATGCCCGCAGCACGCATGAGCAAATAAGGCATTGGCAAGGAGTGCGAGTGCCAAGGCTGCTGAGGCTTGTGAGGATTTCGAACCACTGAAGGACTCGGAGCGCAAGGCTGCTCGCGACTACTTAATAGCAGCCTCGCGCGACAACTTCCTCCTCGAGGTGTTCAGGTCAGTGAATACCACGGCCGGCGACGATCTCGTCCAAGACATGCTGGTCGAGGTCGCTTATAAGCTTGCCGTGTGGAGCAGTACCTGCAGTCGTTTTTTCGCGCAGACCAGCTTGCAGAATGAGTGCGTTCGATACACTCACTAAATGTGTGAGCGGTGCAGGTCGCAGATCCCGCCTTTGTCGCTCAAACAGCGGGCCCGCTGGTTGCATCATTCGTGCTCTTTGGCTTCACTGCAGCTTCACCCTTGCAAGTTGGGCACTCCAAAGAGTGCACAGATAGATTTCTAGATGACAGGTTCGGATCGCTTTGTGTACGTACATGCGAAAGAATTCCGGCTGGAGAGGTGTAAGCCCGAACTGCGTGTTCCTCGTTGACGGGCGAAAAGCGTCAAGTAGCAGACTTCCCCTCAGGTTTTTTGGAATTTGGCTGATTTGCTGCTGCTGGTCGGCCTGGCCATGCTGCCGTTGTTGCCGCTGCTGTCGGCGCCGATGGTTCTGCCCGTCGGTCTGCAAGCTGTTCTTTATCCTTCTGCTCGGACACTTGGCAGAAGCTTTCGACCTTTCTGTAGATTGGTGCTGGTGCCCAGAGATTCGGTGAAAATGCTTGTCCGATCCTTTGAGGAGCCATCGGTCTTGGCCTTGTGGTGGCAGCACTGCTGGCACTGCGAGGCTTGGAGGCGTCCACGGACGGCGTGGCACGAACGGCTGCTTGGTTTGCATGCGTCTGTCTGCACCCCCGCTAGCCTGATCTCTTTGTTCGTTCTAGACGATTTCAGCAGTCTCAGTTGTGGTCCCCATCCGGAACTTTTCCAGCACAGGCCATGCTTTGTTTGGGTGGCTGGTGAGTTGCACCGCCGCTGACCCCAACCGTCGAAGCCAAATTCGAGCAATGCTTGGTTTCAACTTCAGGGGTCCTATGCAGGCAGACAAGGAAAGAGAAGTGGAAGCATCGAACACCCCGACATTGACCAATCACCACGGCGCGAAGTATCGGCTTTCTCTTTCATATACCGACTGCATGGAGAAATCTCACGTCCAACTAAATCCCAAATAATGTATACAGGAGCGGAGGGGCACTGAAGGTTTTGTATTTCCACGGACACCGTAATGCATATATGGTCATGCAAGAGGAGGTCGACAGAAGCAAGATTACGCACCCGGGCCCCACCATAGTGCTGCACATCTGTCCGCGACGGGCGGCAATCATTGTATACATATCCGCGTGATCGGAAATTGCGCGCAGCGGGGGGACGAAGTAGTGCACAGGTGCAAAGACGGCGGGCTCGAGACAGAGAGAGAGAGAAAGAGTGCCTGGGAGAAGAAGAAGAAGCAGAAGAAGCAGCGAGAGAGTGCATGGCTTTGCGCAGCAGCTCAGTTGGTTTGGGCTGTCAGCATTACCGCCTCTGCGTCGCTTGCACGGCCTTCAGAACTCCGCCGAGGCGTGCACTTCCGCCACGATTGTCAACATGACTCTGTCCGGAAGTCAGAACCCGCGATTTCTGGGATTGATGCTTGGTCGAAAGCATGACATGACTTCTTCCGCCTAGCAGTTGCACGTAGGTCCGTTCAGGCAGCAGGCAGATGGCAGACAGGTGATGCCTCAGGAGAGGTGTGAACTCTGCAAAGCCCTGCAGTACACCTCCCATGATCGGATGTTCTGTTCTGCGCACCGTATCCAAGGATTCCAGTCCTCCAGCAGGTCCAAAATATCATAAACGCCCTCGAAGAAGACAGCGCGTTCATGACGGCACTCTGGCAGAATTCGTTGCGGTTGCATGCCGTGTTGGACACTTGCACCCCTGCATGGGGGCTTGATGATACTGCCTCTTCTAGCTGCCACTGCATTGCAGCGCAGGTGTGTAAGCGTTTTCCCTGCCCAAGGTAGCCAATGGTGCATGAACAAAGGGTTTGTGTTTCGACCTGTGCATTCCAAGGGTGCCTTCTCACATGACAGCATAAGGATCTTAGAGGTGTCCTCGATGACACGGAGAAGATTTCAGATGCCGTCGAGCTAGCGTCAAAGACTATGACGATGCTCAACGACATGATGCGGAACGACGCAAATCAGTCGCCGAAACGTGGCTTTCCTGAATGAAAATCGCGGGCATATACACAACCTCGAAACAACACCAAAGAAGACTCAGGTGCAAACGGCGACTCGCTTCGGCATAGCTGCACCCTCTGTGTTGAGCTCTCGGACCTGCTGACGCCCGCCATTGCTACACTTGAGAGCAGTCTGGGAACTGCCTTGGACAGAGCACGCACGGAGGTCATTTCTACACTGAAAAGACGTAGTCGCATTACGGTCCCTTCACCTCTAAGTCCCATTTGGTTCCCCTCTTCCCCTGCAGGTGAACAACCAGCTCACCGGTGAGAAGCTTTCGGACGGGTGTGTGGAAGTAATGGTACTAGTAACTAATGAAAAGCTTGGCGAATTCTGGAACAAGACAGACATCTGACTTCATACCCCCTCCCCCCTTAGGTAGGTTGCATCGGCAATATCCAGTCATGAGAGGAGCTTCAGGGTAGCATGGATCAGTTCACAGCGCCGCTGCAAGAGTTCACGGAGTCGATGCATGGACTCTTTGGGCCTTTCGTGGAGCAAGACCTGCTTCAGCAGATTGAAGACGGGCTCCTCGGTTTCAGGAATGGGCAGAGAATCAAGGACTGGCCTTTTTGGTACATGATGAGACAGATACGTGACCTTCCCCATGCAGCCTGATGCGCAGTGCGCTTGTTTCCGGATGAGCCCGGATGCAAGAAATTTGGAGGGGGAGACAAAGCAACCTGATGCAACTGCTTTCGTGTGTGCCTTCCCAGGCTGCGGCTGTATGGGCCCCTGGCAGTGTGTTTTTTTGCAGCAGTCGCCACCATGCTGCAAGAAGCTTTATGTTTGCTCGCAAGAGTTTCAACATGTGCGGCCAAAGATTCGGCTAAACCCTGACAAGGCTGGCTTGCTTGCGTGTTGCGGCATGTGCTCGATGTGCTGCTGGTGCCGTGTTCAACGCGGAGCTGTGCAGGCATCATGCAATCATGTCGACTTGTGGCCGTTGTAGCCACACCAGTCAGTTGGACGCGTTTCTACAGCGACTGGAGATCTTTGAACCACCCCCAAGTGAAAACCAAGCACCTGGGGCCAGCCTTTCTGGGGCCAGCCATTCCCTTCCAACCATAGCGTGTGTGCCTGTGGTAGCGAGCACGAGCTCACTTGAAGCCCTGTGCCCCAAAGCCCTAAACTCTCAACTCTAAACCGTGAGGTGCCAGAATCAGCAACAGTCCCTAGACCTAGAACAGTGCTCGCTGCCAGAAGATGCATCCACCATCGGGTGTCAGATAAATTGTGTGTTTGCAGAGGTTAGAAACTGTCGGACCGTGGCCACATCTGAAAACGTGTCAACTGTCGGGCACACGTATACCCACTTATGCACGGGTATGTGCAGACTTCGCTCATTCACTTCAATTCAGGGTCAGATCATTGTTTATTGGCCTGCTGTAGCCGTAGCAGGCATGTGTTACGCCGCTCTGCGCATGCGAAAAATCAAGAGATCAAGTGCTTGCACTGAATGCTCTGCTCCAGCCGAAGGCCAAAGCCCACCGCTGCGCATGCTGCACATGGTGCTGTGGATGCTACTACATTTGGGCATCTTGGCTGCCAATCAACTGAATTTCTGTACATGTGAAACTTCTTTCTAGAATGGCGCCGACAGCTTGAATACCTGAGAAGTAATACCTTTTGTGCCCGTGCGTGGATCATCCTGGGTCAGCTTGGCCGATGGCCGGCAGGCACAAAGCGTCTTACTCAGGTTACTTTCCTGGTTGGCGGCACTCTCCTTCTGGTCTCAGTTCCTCTGGCAAGTTTCTGAACCTTGGCCGGCCAACATTTGTCCGCTCTAGCCTTTTTATGACACGCTCCTGCTTGAACATTAGTTTGACTCCTTGTGTCAAACATTGCAAGGCTTGATCCTCGACGACTTCAGCGGACAGACCCTGCAGGACGGGGCATGGCGGGGCCTGGCTTTAGTATCCGATTCGTCCATGAGCCAAGCCATGCCACGGGGCTGGCATAGATGCAGTCCTGAGCCCGGGCTGGACTGTTGCCAATATTGCAGGACATGTCCGGGGCACTTGGCCTGGACATGACAGGCCCGCAAACAAGGATCATGCTGCTTTGGCGTTTGATTTGGCCTTATATGTGCTTTTGCTTTTGTAGTCGAGTTACCGTTCTGCTGAACATCACCACCAGCGAAAAAATGCCTATGCTGAACCAGGGTGCAGACGCAAGCAATGCTCCCAAGGCGTACAAGTTGTAGAATTAGTCTGTGGGTCTTTCATGGGTCGGTTATTGCCGGCTACTTAGGCTGAACATGGTTGATCAATGCTTCCAAAGACCGGGGACGAGTTCCTCAAATGCGGCCCTTCTGGACATCATCACCGTGGAGTCCAATGGCACAACACAGACAATGAGGCCCCATTGAGTCACAACGGCACTGTTGGGTCCTGCAAACGAAGTCATGACCCAAAAGGGCCACAGCTAACCATCTATGTATATATATATCTATATATATATATATATATCTATCTATCTATCTATATATATATATAAAGATAGACATACACACACATATACATACATGTATATATATACATACATACATACATACATAATCATACATACATACATACATACATACATACATACATACATACATACATACATACATACATATATATATATACATATACACATGCATACATACACACACACATATATATATATACATATATATATATACATATATATATATATGTATACACCACGAAATGTACAAGGAGACCCCTGCAGGCAGCAAGTGGTGGGTGGAGTCACCGACCAGATCAGCGCACAGTTCAATGGCCTCACGAGCGGCAACGCGCAACAGAAGATTCGCGAAGATGAAAATGTCCAGAAGCTCCTGCAAACAATCCAGAACTTCAGTATGGATTTCATGATGCTCCCGGACCTTCCCGCAGTTGCACAGGAGGACCCATACAAGAACATGAACTTGAATCAATCTTTGGCGAAGTTCTTTGCATCCTCTGGAGCTTGCGACGACTTCGAATGGGATGGTCAATCCACTTTTGGCCGGGCGCCCATATTCCGTGAAGCGAGTTGCCGCATTTCTTCATACATGTCGGATTTGGGTTCGTTGGCCTGCCCTAGGTATCGAGTCCTTCAGCAACGCGCTCGCGCAATTTGGAAGCTTGGCAGTGAAGCACTGGGATCTGGCCTGGGATGCTTGTCGCTGGAGCTGACTCAAGGACCCTAAACCCTAAAACTCAAGGCCCTGGTGAGTCCTACGCGCTGTGCTCCTACCCTTCCTTAGCCTAATCGGTCTGCCCTGGTATGAGTTCAGTGGCCTGGGACCCGCCGTCTTTTTTGCTCTTACCGTCATCGTCGTCTTGGAGTCTGGATTTTCCCTGCAGTGCGACCTAGTCAGCGAAGCGGGTGGGAAACAAAAACTCAAGACCCGCGAGAGGGAAAACTCAAGACCACATGCCTTGCCTGGATTGTCCGAGTGTGAGCGCCGAAACCCTAAAGCGTGACAGCAGCGAGAAAAAGAACCACAAACACACACAAAACCTACACGGTGCCTGGTTGTGAGGGCTGAAACCCCTAGATTCTCCTAGATTCGAGGTGTGCCTGAGACACCGCCGCATGCGAGCTGCGGCCAGCTTGTGAACTGCAGCGGCCACTTGGCAATCTTCCGGCTCAATTTTAGGCACCCTAAACCCTAAACCCTAAACCTAATGTAGGGGTTTTGGAGTCCGTTAAAGTATTACGCAGGTATGAATATCTATATATATATATATTAATAAATGGTAGATTTATACACTATTGATTTTATAAACAAAATTGATTAATAAATAAATCGCAATAAGTATTTGCGATTATTATTTTTAGTCGGTTCATATCGAAGCTATTAGGAATTATATAGCAAATTTCATATGATGATTGCCTTGAAATATTGTCTCTTACATGATATGATTTGTACGAGAGTCAAAATTTATGGCGGACATTTCTATATATAAGATTCTACTCTTCCCCCCGTGTGCTGCACCTTCCTAATGTTGATCATTCTGGCCCCGCACCGCCAGATCCAGCCCAACACTTGGGGACTTAGAGCTGAGGGCAAAAAGGATCAAGGATTACGGCTTACGGGCTCGGAGGTTGGGACCCGGGGCTTTGGGCCCAGATGGAGCTTGAGGTTGGGACCAAGTGACGCTTGGGGCTTAAGGGTTGCACCCACCTAACCTCCCCCAATTCCCAATATTAAAGAGTCTAAGTGGAGGTGTTCTTCAGGCACGACTGGTCTTCTAGTGATATGCTGAGCTCAAGCTCAGCATCCCGCTTCCCTTGCCGGTTTGGAGGTGTTCCTGCAACAGACGCTCTCGCATGCGAGGCGGCCAACAGCCCCTTGCCTGCAGACACTGCAGCCATCTTTTAACCTCAGCACAAGTTGCGCCATCGGATATCATCGGTCAGCGGAAATATAGCGGACCTGGCAAGAACGGCAGGCTTCATGGAGCTGAAGCAGGGCTTGCGCAGCGTCACGCGCCTGCTGCAACGGTGAGACTTTTCTTTTTCTTGTGCAAGCTTGCTCTCCTCTCCGATGCTTCATTCTTTTTGGCACAAGAGCAGCCGATGAGGTCCAGACCTTCAAGTGCAAATCCTTCCGGGACGAGAGCGGCTCTGCATGCACGCTCACCAACATGACTCACGTGGATGAAGGAGTGTACCGGAATGACTGTGTGGCTCCCAGTTGCGGGTATCATGAGGCAGCCTTTTCGTAAGGAGCAATGCCGAGCCTTTGCCCTGCGTTGAGGTTTCCGCAGCGACGGCACGCTCGCGGAGATCGAGTATGACTGCACGCTTGAAGAGTTTACACGGATAGTGGAAAGCTATTCGAGACAACTGGATCTTGCCTTCGAGCGGCTTGACAACGTCACGCCGCTGGTGCTCCAAGGCATCGCCACAGACATGCGCCAGTTGGTGGAAGAGAACGTGATCGACAAGATTGTGTGGATCGCAGATGGTGTGACTTGCGGGTTCATGGGCGCGACCTTCTTCACCTTCGTTGACGGCATGTGTTTCCGAGGAGTGTGGGGCTTCTCTGCCATTGCTGCTTCCTATGTCGCTTGCGCAGTGCTGGCGTTATTCCTGGTCATCCTCTTGTTGCTTTGACTCATTCAGCTAGGCTAGGCAGCCGGTCCGACATGTTTGATGCACCGTTGATATGACATGCACCTCAATGTGGTCCGAAGGTACTTGGTTTGGCGCTTCGCCCTGGACACGTACGACGCACGGCCTAGCAAGGGGCAGTTGAGCGGTATGTACGTAGAGTTACAACACCAGTACTGGTTGCTTGTCTTTCTCTTTGGTAGCTGCATGGTCTGATGCGTCGTTTTCAGCGGCAGCTGCCTCGGGCTGAGGAGCTGAACAAACAGGACAATCAGGCAGCTCGACCATACACAGGCGTGACAGTTGAGGGCGAGCCCCTCACCAATGCCGCCAAGGAGTGAGCTGTAGTTCCGCAACCGATGCATACATATGTGTTTATATGTGTATTTACTGGCATACGCAATCGAACCATGCAGGGTACCGAGTGAGACAGCGGTAACTAGCAACAGGCAAGTTAAGAGCTAGCCGGCCAAGCCGGCCTCGTAGATTCTGCGCTTTTTTGCCGAGAGACCAGGAGGGCTTGTCTGCATGGTCCTCCGAATTCACGCTTATGAAATTAAGGATGAAGGCGATGCAATCCAGACACTGGTCTTGCAGATGCCAAGTAGCTTTGCTGGTATGGAAGGGCGGAGGCTTCGCCGCATGGCATTCAAGCACCGACGACCCGCGAGAGAATCATGGCCGCCCCTTCTGTGCCTTTGTACACGATTGCAGGGACATGGCCAAGCCACAGCCCTGTCTCCACGAATCAGTGAAAGGCACGTCACTTTTCCAGGGTGCTGTGCCCATCACTGAGAAGTTAATGAACTCTCCGAAGGCGGCATCTGAGAGTAACCCATCGGTTGGGTCTGCTTTGCCATCTGGAACGACGGCCCCGGATCCATTTCTCTCAGCTACATTTTTGACTATAGGTGACCATTGGCTAGACTCCTGGCGTCGGTTTTGATCCATTAGATCCGGGGCATACGGCTGCCTGCAATGGTCTTGGCATGGAGCTGCTTTATGCCCCCCCTCGCGTGGTCACCGGTCCCGGAAAGCATGTGTGCAAGTGGTTGTGACCAAAGAATCGGTTCGCATCAATGTTAGGAGCAGCTTGTTGATCAGCGCCTCGTGCCATGCCTCTTCTCCTTCCCGACTTGGCAGGTCTGTGTCCAAAGGCTCGTCGAATGAAGCGTGAGGCTGGCTACGGCTACGGCTTCCAAGAATCCTCATGCAGCTGGCAGCTGGGTTGTTTTTCTGGAAGTCCAGGCTAAGGAAGGTAATTTGAAGGTATGTAACTGTGTGAACGACGTGTTTCAAGACAGAAAGAGGATCTCGGCCGCGAGGCGACGTAACGTTGTAGCGAATCTGGTTGAGCTTGTGTCCAGGCCGGCCTCGACGAATGGGTGACATCTGACTCGCTGCCTTCTGTTTGGTGTTTCGATGCACTTTGCTGTCGACTCCTGGTGCCACTCGGAAAAGTTCGGCTCCTTTTAGTTTTATTCAATGATTGCGGAGTGTGCCACGGGCATCGCTGACTGAAGAACAGACAGTGCCCCGTGGAACCAGGCTGCCCTAAGCTCCGAAGTGCTGCTTTCGGGACATCCCGACTTGCGAGACCTGCTCGTCCGAAAATGCTTCTCGCCGCAAGCTGCCCAGCTGCGGCCATAGTGTTTCTCCGGAAAAAAGCCTTGAACTCTGCTACGCTCGCTGCTTTTGCTGCTTCAGATGTGCCTGTAGCTCCGGTGCCGGCCTTTGGCGATTGAACTCGGGCTGGAAGGCACGCTGCCCTCTGCACTCCTTGTAGCGATTGATAGGCAGCACAGTCTTAGCAAGATGTCCGCTTCGCAGGCCCCGTGCTGGAGATTGACCGATCTCCCGGCATGGCAATTCAGCCTGCTTCGGCCGACATTAAGGCGAGCGGCTTAGGTGATCGGGGGCCGGCCTACACGAGCCAGAACAGCCGTTAACATTTTCATGAGACGGCCCAGTGGACGACCAGCCCGGCTGATGGAAGACCAGAATTTCCGAACAGCTCATCGAATTCATGATGCCAAGGAGTGCTTGACCTGGAGCCATGCCCGCGGCAATGCGATTGTAAACGTTTGCGTCATACGTACCGCAGCAGATTCAGGGCAAACGTGTCTTGCAGTCACGGCACCGTGAGCTCGAACTATGGCGCGGGATCTGCATTGCCGTCTGTTCCATGGAGAACTGGAGAACCAGCACAATTCAAGAAACATCAGCCAGATTTTTGTGGTTAACTCGAATCTGCGGAAGCCAAGCATGGCGGCACGGCAAACGGACGTCGAGGGTGGATCGACCATTTTTGATGCAGACCGTGACCTACCGTGACCTAGAAAAGCTGAGGTGTCAACGAACAAGGTATCAGACCCCATGCGCAGCAAAGCGGGAGAGATTGGGCCTTTTGGTGCCCCCCTTCACTCGAGGCCCGGACTTCGAGGCCTCGGTCTGCAGTGGCCCCGCGAGGCCTGGCCAGGGGCGTTACCACAGAGGCGTGAGGTGTCAACGTTCTTGCCATGTTGTTGGAAGGGGAACTACAGGAAGAGCGGAAGCTGGGAGCAGGATGAAGCCGACACCCATAGATCATAAAGGACCCCCAGAGCTACATGACATTGTATAGAGTCTAGAGATACTTTCAGACGCCAAGGTGAGGTCGCAACAGTCACAGCCTCATTTTCGGCACAGTCGCCAACCTTTAGGTGAGGAGTGTGCCAACAAGACTGACTGCCACTCTGGTTGTTTGTGGCCCGGCACGTCAGTGGGTCATCATGAGGGCTGCACGCAAGCAGATCGCGCCAAACAAGCAACCCCCACTCTACACATTGCCAAGTAGACTAGTGACTAGCACATGCCAACATTGGAAGTGTGAGGCTTGCCTGGATCGTGCTTGTAGAAGTAGTCCTTAGCCGGTCTTAAGCAGTAATTAGATCTCAAGAGCTGCCCGAAAAGGGCCGACATGCCGAAGCGATGGCGGCCACCAGCACCGACCCCACCGAAGCCACGGATGGACAAGGTTGCTTGGAAGTTCGTTCCTGCTTCATACGATCGATTCATCTGTGCTGGACCTGGGGCTCTGAAACGAGATGATGCCTCCAGCATACCGTAGGTTTTTCGGTCAGATGTGTCTGCACTTCCTGTCGTTGTCTCTTTGTTCGTTTTGCCCACGGCGAACATGCGATTCTTGCTGCAGACTGCGTCCGAGTATGTGGCGGAAATGAAGGAACAGGAAGAGGCGATGTTATGCATTCCATCGCCTCGTCTTCTGTTCTTGGAATGATGCTGCATGGTTTTCGGAGGCTGAGCGGCTTAAGAAATCAGGCAGCACAAAGCTCGCACAATTCGAGAAGGACATTGTGAAGCCTGCCCTGCCGTGAGTTTGAATGACACTCCAAGATGTGAAAGGAGTACGGCGATCCAGACAATGCGACTGGCGCCATCAAAACACCTGCTGAACTCAACAACGCGGCCGGACCGATGGCGCAGCTCGGCGGTCACAAGTGCATCAGCTTCTAGGCGTGCAAGTAGCACCCGCTTTGCGGATCGGAGGCCTCCCAAGAAGATGAAGAAGGACAAGAAAAAGGACAAAAAGAAGGACAAAAAGAAAGACAAGAAAAAGACAAAGAAAAAGAAGAAAGATGGCAAGAAAAGGAAAGACGACAGCAGCAGCAGTAGCAGCGGCAGCGGCAGCAGCAGCAGCAACGGAGGCAAAGCAAAAGGCAAGCTATCGTCGAAAAAGAAGAAGGACAAACTTGCTGTGAGGGCAGTGTGTGAGTGTGAGCTCAGCAGTCGACCGCCAGCCCTGGTTTATTTGCAGGAAGCTGTGACAGCCAAGAACGGTTGGAGGATCTCCGGTTTCCTCAAGGCCGAGTTAGCACTCCGCACGATCACTGTCTGTTTGCCGACACGCCGGTGTATGAACTTGGCTTTGAATGTAGAACAAAAAAGTTTAACGCGAGAGCCTCAGCACGAACGCATGGGAACTGTCGCCGAAGCAGATGGTAGGTCGGTTTGATGTTGGACACACTTCGGGACGAGTTGTTCCTGCTGGTCAGTTGCTTGGGGTCGCAGCCGGCGGGTTTTGTGGCAGTCGGAGGACAGGCAAACAAAGCCTCAACGTGGCAGTAGTCGCAAGCAGCAGCAGCAGGAGGAGGAGGAGCAGAGGAGGAGGAGGAGGAGGAGCAGGAGTAGGTCTGAGTAGGTAGCAGCTAGCAGTAATAAATAGTAGTCGTCGTCGTGGTAGTGGTAGTGGTAGTGGTAGTGGTAGCGGTAGTAGTAGTCGTAGTAGTGGTAGTGGTAGTGGTAGTCGCCGTAGTAGTAGTTGCAGTCGTCGTAGTAGCCGTGGTGGTGGTAGTGGCAGTGGAGGTGGAGGTGGATGTGATAGTGGTGGTGGTGGTGGTGGTGCTGGTGGTGGTGGTGGTGGTGGTGGTGGTGCCGGTCGCGGTCGTGGTCGTGGTCGTGGTTGCTGCCAGTGATGGTAGAGGCGGGGACGGTGATGCTACTGCGGTGTCATGGTCCTGATCCTGATGGCTGCTGCTGAGTGCTGATGGGTGTGGTGGCGGTTTTGCTGTGCTGCCGTTCCGGCTGCTGGTGATGGTGGCAGAAGCAGGTGGCAGTGATGTGTTGTCTGTTTGTCACAGGAGTCGGCTTTTTGACAATATTTTTTGCATGTTGAGCGAGTTTCAGGCCAGCTCTGATAGCTGATGGCAGAGCTAGTGACAGCTAAGCAGCTAGTGCAAGCTCTGTTGGTTTGTTGGCGGCACTCGGTGGGTTGTTTTCCTAAAACTTAGTAAGGAGCATTGTTCGGGGTCTCGAATTCCCTGATGATCCGCCGCCGACAAGTCACAGCAGCCATCAGTCAGTGATTCTCAAGCATCGGCTGCCAATATGGCGATCGCACCAAAGCATGGACTGACAGGCAGTTCCAGACGTGCAGACATATGTAGACTGTATACAGAGATCATGGACATTCAAGCTACGCAGGTGTAGAGCCTGCCCTGCCGACCTCCGCAGCATAGAAGTGCAAGTTGGACCTTGCTCGACGTGCGCCGGGAGGAAAACGTCGCTCTGTGCCACCGGCTGCGGGTACGCAGCGGGTAAGGTGAGTGGTGCATTCAGGCTCCACGAACGTCGCGAAGACCGCCGGATCGCAGCCGGGGCTTCAGTCAGGAGGGCTTGAATTGGCATGCAGAGGTTCGATTGAAACAGTCCATATCCTTTGTGGGATATGCTAGGGAGATCTATGGAGTGTAGCGTGGTCCCAGCTGCGAGTAGTGTGAGAGCGTTCAGGCCCTGCTGCACCGAAGACTTGCCGTGGAGATGCAAAGAGGCGGGGTGATTGCTAAGATGTGCCTTCAGGCCTGGAGTGACTCAAAATGCAAAAGGCAGCCTCCGATCTCGCCCCGGTGGCCGCTGCCGACAAAGATCCCAAGCCCCGCTAAGGCTCGCGGTGAAATCGAGCATGCTGTTCATGCAAGCTGAAGCTTCACGTCCTGGCTCCACCGGTCCGGACATGTCATGTTTCAGCTTTATGAACTGGACCGAGAACTGCACCCTGTTTGCAAGCACCAGGTTTGTACTAGCCCGGCTCTGCCGCCCTCTCAGCACGCCCAACACTGCGTGGGCATGACAACTGCACAAGTGTTGGTGTTCGCCCACGAGCTGCAAAGGCCAGTGGCCGGAGCCTTGCAGAAGAGATGTGCTGATGCGGCGCCCAGCTTAGCAAGGCAACAGAACTGCGCTAGTAGGCAGCCCTCCTTGATCATGCGTGGGCACTGTTTTCCGCCGAGTCCGCCACGGTGTCTTCCTTATAACGCTGTACTTCTTTGCATGGCTGGTGTTGTAGGCCGGGGACTTTGCCTCAGGTGCACACGCTTCATCGCTTGCGAGCACAGGACGATGCCATTCTGAACGAGGTGAGCTGTCTTGATGGGGCGTCAGCATACTTCACGTGCCTAAAGCGGGCCCGAGAGCTGGTGTTGCGGTCGCCGCCTGGCTTGCTCTTCAAGCTCCGCTTGTCCAGACGAGACCACGGCCGGGCATTCTCTGTCAGCCCCGTCGCCGGTCCGAGGTGCGGACACCGTAGACTGGATGGAGCGGCGTGGATTCCAGACACAGCAGCTGTAAGGACTTGGCAGCTGCATACGTGGCTGCTGCTCGAGGCAGAAACATTCCTCTGGGAAATGCATGCTGCATGCCTGCATGAAAGACGGCTGTAACGCATGGACAAGCGCTCTTGCACGAGCAACTCCTTGTCTGCAGGCCGTGCTCCGGCAGCTTGCTCAGATGGATCCGCCTTTTTCGCTCCATGGTTCTCGCTCCCTGAAGTGCTTTTTCTTGGTACTTTCGAGAAGCATGTCCGTTGACTCGCCGACTTGCCAGCCGAGCCCACGACCTCAAACCCTCTAAGCCACCGCATCCGAAATGCCCACCCAAAGGAAAAGGAAGAGGATTTCTATGCTCCTCGAGGACGCGGCCTTAGAAATTTGGGAAGCTAAGCACTTTGGCACTTTGGCCCCGGCCCTTGCCTTTTCTCGAGCGTTCCTATCCACTTGTCTTGGTAGATGTGATGTGTTTACAAGTGTATTTTGCCATGCTAGAAGCTGAATGATTTTTTGGGGGCTGCTGGCTAGTGCTAGTTTTGCAGCCGGGTTCCTGAGCTTGGTGTTCACACGGCGCACTCTGTGACCAGAGGCCCGAGGCCGGGAAAGTGGAGCTTCACCACTTTAGCAGAGGCGGGGATTGCTGCCAGTTCCGAGGCCGCCTGAGCAGCACCATAGTTGTCGGACAGGGCGCATGCGATGCCAGTATCAACATTGCCAGCTCCACACAGTCTGCTAGGCCCGGGATCGCTTCAAGCAACGAGTACATGCAGTTGAGCCTCTCTGCCGCAAGACCTCTTGTCACCCCCGCATCCTCCAAAAACACATATGCCAGAACAGGCAACTCTTTTCGCAAATAGGTCAATCACTATCCAGGCTTGTTACTGCTAGTAGGCTTTATTAAGCATTGTGTAGTGCAGGCCCAGCGCTAGAAACAGCAAAGCAAGCGAGACACAGATGCAAATACTAGCGTACTGAATTTAACGAACTTAGAAAGAGCGATTGACTAGGCTACTCCAGGCTTGCTTTGGGCTTGTTTCGACCTCATTCCGGGCTTAATTCCATGGTTCTGCCAACACTCAAGTAAAACACAATACGCCGAGCGAAATTCCAAAGATGAATAAAGTCTTCGTTATATATAATCTTTAGGGGTTCTAGAAGGCCCCCCGAAAAAACAGGCCAGAACAATAATTAGTCAGGGGTAATGCGTTCTTTGAGAGAAGGCATCTCGGCCGGTGGTTGGGCATTTGTCATCTGCTCGTTCTTCGTTACAAATCCAAGAGTATTCGGTTTGCTGTACCTTGCCAGATGGGTAATAAAGGACGTTTCCAGTGACAAGCCAGCACAAGTAGCAGGGTACATCTGGCAGCAATGGCGAGTCGTCCTTCTCAGGCGTTCGACAGAGTATATGGCTGCCCTGCAAGAGAAGCCTGGCACAGAGCTTCACATGCCTGATGAGTTGAAACTTTGCTGAGTCCAGTGGCCTTACCATTCGCAAAATCAAGGTTGGACGATCTGAAGGACTGCTCAGCCGTCGGCTCATTGCTTCGCAATCTGTGTCTGCGTTTGTGCCCGCCGTCCGTAACCTCCAGACCGAGCGAAACAGAACGAGGCGTAGCGCGTTCAACCTTAGAGCAGGGAGTAGCAGTGTTTCTTGGGCTGCTGAGGCCAGCTGCTCGACAAGCTGTGGATCTTCAAGCGAAAGCTTGTCGCTTCAACCTCAAGTCTTCAGCGATTCTGATTATGTCGCCCGTCGGACATGCAGCACTCCTGCGACATTGATGACTGACACCCAAGGACATTTGCTGTTCAGCTGGCTGCTCTGCTCGACAAGTAAGTTTGGAACGTGTCGCAAAGCCCTGCAAACATGTGGCAGTTCTCCACAGCGAAGACACAAGAACAGGGTCGTGTGCGACCCACGAGTACCAGTACTTGAGGTGCATGTGTGCGTGGGCTGAGGAGAGCATTCAAAAATCGGCAGATGTACTGATGACAAAGCTGCCTGGCTAAGGCAGCGGGTGGGACAGGATGGTCAGGGCTCATTCATGTAGTTGGCGGCAGGCGCATACGCCGCCCTGTTTCTTTCGGGTCTTCCAAGACGTTTCGGATGGTTCCATGGGGTTGGGATGGGGGGGGAGGGATAGTGACGTAGGTTCTAGCGATGACCATGCCCAAAACGCTGGCATTTCAGCATTTTTACCACACTTTACAACATACGGCAAAAGGACGTTTGACATGTCTGGCAATAAGATGTACTGTCATCAGCATGCGCGCCTCGTGCGACCATGCCCAAAGCATTGATGGCGATGATGTTGAAGAAGAAGAAGATGATGATCTCTACGGAAGGGTATTCACTGAGCGATTTTGTCCAACCTACAACAGTTTCTGGCAGGCTCTACAACTCTTTTTTTCCTGAACTTCGGGATAAAACCGCGGTCTCCAACATGATGACGAAAGCGAAGTAATACGGCGCCCTATGCGCCGGCACCCATATAATTAACCATGTCGTTCAGCTGAGCTGACGTGCCTAGGCCTAGACTGACACAGCAGGGTTAGGTGCCGACCATGACTTTGTCTTTAATTCAGTCATTGTATTTGCGCTTCAATCAGGTTTCCGTACCTAGAGGGGGCACTGGCGCCTGCTTCCAGGCACCAGGCGCGAGGGAGCGACCTGCTGAAGCTCGTGTCCTGAAGGATGAAGCTCAGTGCAGGTTCGCGGCTCTTCTGTTGTACTCGTGCATTAGCTTGTTAGATGCGTTGTCTATGGCGGGGCTGCTTAAGAGTCTTACGAACAACGAAGGACAGCAAAGCGATTGCCGAATTCAACTTGCTTCTTTGCGGCCTTACCTTCAGCGGCGCCAATTTGCGCATCATTTAATGGTAGTGGCGTGGTGCTGCTATGCAGAGCTCATAGCATGCCGCGCGCAACTGCTAAGAGCTGGATGGAATCTTCACTGTACAGTCCCACCGGTAATTTTTGCACAGTCTGCGCACAACGCACAGATCGAATCGGCGACACCCGCATGCAAGCAATGCCAGCTGCCGGTGGCAATCTGCCATACTAGGCCCATATGGCACCTGTTCGGGCGCAATTTTCAATCGGAGCATTTCAAAAGAAAGCTCCGTCGTGGGATCATGTCATATGGCGGCCCAGTCCTCCATTGCGCCGAGGTATAGAAGAAGCTTGGGGATGGAATCTCGCCAAAATAAGAGGTCTGTGATTAGATTCTCCCAGGAAGTCATGTCATAGATAAAATATCAAATTCTTGCAGAATTTGGAAGCTATCGCCGATGAGTTTAACTACGGCTGTAAAGGGTGAGGCGGGCCACAAAACAATGCCTTATGGGCCGTCACATCCTTTTCATTTCTGTCTGATATCTAAATTCTTCCCACCCTGATTCATTAATTATTTTCTCCTCTTGATTTCTGGCGGCGATGTATTTGGGATTCATTAATTATATTCTCTTTATTTTTTAAAATGGCGATTAATGATTTAATATCAAGCAATATATTATTATTATGTGAATGACGATATTTATTAAATTATTAATTATATATGGTTTTCTTCTCATTGATTCTCTTGAATTTATTAGTTATAAATAAAGATTACTTCATCTATTCGAACGATATGGTCTAGAATAAAAAATAAAGAGATGTCTCATTGATTCTCTTGAATTTATTAATTATAAATAAGGATTACTTCATCTATTCGAATGATATGGTCTAGAATAAAAAATAAAGAGATATTGATTAACTTTTTTGATTTTGATTCTCTGTATTCTATGGAATTATAAGCATTATCGTCTTTATCTTATTTGATAATAATTCTTTTTTTAAAAAAATATCTTCTTCTTGCATAGATATTATCTCTTGAATATATTTGATAATGAATTCTTGATATTTCTATAAGAAAAATTTCTTATAAAGAATTCTTTCTTATTTTTGAAAAAAAAATATTTTTCTTTACATGACATTATTTATAGATTTTCTGAAAAAGATATTCTTATATAATTTTTCTACAAAAGAATCTCGAATTTTCTTCCAAAAAACGAATATGATTTTTATCTTTAGATATTGATTTTCTTGCTTATATAAATTATATCGCTAAGCTGCTTTTATTTATCTTTTTTCTTGAATTCTGAATTTATATTAATTTGAACAACATTATAAATTCACTTGTGAAAATTTATATAAATATTCAGATTGGTCTGATCCGCGTTAGCTAGGACTCGTGTTGGGCGTTAGTGATTTTGCCTATGCCCTGAATGATCCGTCAGAAGAATAGAAATAATTAATAATTTCTGCGCCATGGTAAGACATAGATCTCGTGCATTCGGAATACGCGCTTTCATATTCGTATTCGCGCGCTGAGATCACTGTATAGAGATAGGAGGCGAATCTCATTTGGGAATCTAACTAGGAGAAAGGAATATTGGACAACATCTATATAGAATTCAAGAACAAGTAGATACGGCAATTTTATTTCAAAATAATAGTGTGAATTAGTTGTGCGACAGCTTTGCGATAATGGTCGTGTCAGCGAAGAGTCGTTTGGCCGCCAATCTCCTCTCTTGGCCGTAATCAGTAGGGATAAAGGAGGACGCGCTCTGGGATACAGAAGTCGGGATCCTTGGGAGATTTGATATCTTGTACGTAGAGATCTTATCGACTTATTTGATCTATTGAATTTGTTTTCTTTTCGAAACCGTAATGTCGTATGTTGAATCTGGGCGATACAGTTCGCTTTTGAGTATGCTCCTATGGGCGCGTCAGTAAAATTGGATTCAAATTCCGAAATCTGTAGCGCGTTAGTCAAGATAGCTGAGAATGTCTGTGCGTTAGTTCTTCCGTAGCGTGCGACAGTAATACGACAGATTTGGCGCCAATTTCGTATTTTGTATGATAAGAGGATTTAGATCTTCATATATTTCTTTCTCTTATCTTGATATTAATAATTTTGAAATCGACAACTATATTTTAATAAAATTAGCAATTTATATAATACGATATCGATTCGGAATAAATACCGATAATTTCATGAAAATAAGATATAATTATATAATTATATCGATAGAATTATTTTCAAAATTAAATTGAATATATATATAGCTTGTAGAAAAAATTGATATTAATTAGATGATTCTAGAATTTATATATTCACCTTACTCTTGTGAAATTCTAAACAAAAGTTATAATATATTAAAATTCATGACAAGTTTAAATATTATTCTATATAGATATCTGAGATCTATTTTAAATATTCCTCGCTAAAAGTTACGATTTATCTCAAACTATTTGGATCTCAATTTTCAAACCTTTCAGAGATAATTTATTCTATAGAATTATTTAATTTCATATAAAAATATATCGTTTTGATAATGTCATATTTACAATACAATATATTGTTATTTTCTTAATCTATGAATAATATTGAATACGTTTGATTTTTTCTGAATATTTTTTATATTAATTTGAGAAATCGTCAATATAGAAGATATGAGTTGCGCATAAATTATGAATTAATCTATCAATCGATAAGGGAAAGAAGAAAAAAATATATCCGATGATTTCTCCTTAATTTTTTCTTCTAAAGAAATATAACCCAACTAGGAATTAAATAGAAATATATATATTTCTTTAAAATATTTTTCATTCATATTAACCAAGAATCGAAACGAAATCGTTTTAATACAAGAAACGAAATAATTTCAATAAAGAAATTAGAGTTCCGTAAGAAATATATAAAATATATTAATAAATGAATATAATCTAATTAATAATCGATATAAAATTCAGAAGAGAAAATTTGTCATAAATGAAATATAATACAATATCGAAATATAATATATCTCTTTATCAAAATTTTTCCAATAATCATAAGTCAACAAATACACAATAAATGC